TTTTCAATTTCACTTGACAAAGGACGCCGTGGTCTCGAACCCCGTACCTTCCCAATACTACGCCAATGTCTTACTCCCGCACCACTAGATCTATACAAATTTGTTACCTTCACCTTCCTCATACTGTACCACTTGCTTCCTACATGCACTAATTTTATATATATATATATATACATGATAAACATGTATATCATCGTCAAAATCCTTTCAAAGGATGGTATGGATTGGATAGATGTAGCTCAGGATAGGGACCTGTGGAGGGATCTTGTGAACACGGTAATGAAACTTCGGGTTTCATATAATGCTGGAAAGTTTTTGAGTAGCTGCACAATTGGCAGCTTCTCAAGAAGGGCTCAGCTGTGTGAGTGAGTGATGGGGATATTATTATACTTATTCTTGAAAGTAAAAGCGGTCGAAGCTTAAAGCATATCACTGAACTTCATCTGGTTCTATACTGATACTGAGATCTATGGTAGCTGGAATACTAGCAATGACTTCAGTCACTCAGTACTGCTTTCGATCGCTTCATCGGGCTCTTGATTGTAGCCTGACATTATTTCTCATCCATAATGACAAATTAATTACAGCAGTAAGAACAAAGGTTCGTGGTCAAAGGGTTAATTTTCTTTCCTTAATTCTTGGAAGTAAATTTTACAATGTTATGATTAGAAATTACTATAAATTTATAATACGTATACTGATATTATGTGAAATCTGCCGGTGTTGTCATTTATCAGAGAGTCAAATTAAAATTTTCTTTTTACCGCTGAATATTCGATGTTGGGATGAAAATGAGATCTGTACAGACTCTGGATGAGAGTGGGAAACATCTTTCAATGAGGCAAACATGAAGCAAGTGTATGTACAAAATATCCTTGTCTCCTGCACGGCAATCCTGAGAGATCTCACCTTTAGAGAAGATCATGCCATAGAAGGGTCTGTCAAACTCGATGTTCACTCGCATATTGGTCTTCTCGCACTGAACCTGCAGGTGTTTGATCTGTGGCATATCTGGGGTCGCCAGTGGCCAGGAGTCGTCGCCTCCTCCGATTCCTCCGCCCTGGGGTGGCCCATATGCGGGAGGCGGGGGCAGGTGGCTTGGGGGTCCATATACTGCTCGATGTTCTAGGGGCAATGATGCAGAGTCCACTAAAGGTGCGTCGCTATGGGCGCCCTACAAGAAGAGAAGACTCTATTGTAATTACGTTGTACGTTGTACGTGTGTAGTTTTGTTAGCGATTGATGGTAAATATCCACAATCGATCAACGCCGTAACAAAATTCTGTACAGTCCACGCTACAATTCAAGCAACTATGGAGTACCAACATCATAACATAAAAAAGAAAATATGTCCCTGCAGTAAGCCTTGGAGGCCCATAGTGTTGTGAGATGTCGAGGCTCCCACATTATTCTATACAGTCGGCTCACAGATGGCGGTGAGGTTGTAAACCTTACGCCCCTGCCGCCCTTTATCCCCCAGGAAGAATCCTGGTACTCATTTCTGTTAGAGGTTGAGTCGACTCCAGAACCATAATGCTGCTGGAAGGATTAGATCAATTGAAAAATTTAATGACCTCATCGAGAATTGAAATCGCAACCTTCCGGCTTATAGCATACTGTCTCAACCAATTACGCTACCGCGTTCCCCAAAATCATAATATATCAAGAGAAAAGTAAAATGCTTTTTTAAAAATTATAACAAGATTCGGCAACATGTTAGACGTAATTTTAACTAAGTTTTGACAAGGTTTTAGAACAGTGAAATGAAAACAATACCGTGTAGCAACTATATATATATATATCTGATCATGAACTTACAAAGTCGAAACATGAAGGAGACAGTTACAATACATGTTGACGTAGCAAACCACAAGTCTACGAACACGACAAGGGTTGCACCTCCAAGACTGGTCTTTGAATTAAATTAAATGAACTTGTCATCATCTGTCACGGTTTGTCAGAATGCCTGTATCAAAATATGATTAAACTAAACTCAAGAAACAAATAATGCATGCAATACATAACAAAGTGTATACAAACTCTGCTACAAATAAATTTACATAAGCAGAAAACATTTTCTGCCACTAGCAGGTGTCCTGTCCTCTCATTTTTCTCCTAAATGGAGTGTTTGCTCCTAAAATATGCACAAAGATGCCCTTCTTTGTTCGTATTTGCAATCGGAAAGTGAAACTGAAGAGTCTAGAGAAGGAGAAAGTGTTTTCTGTTATATATTGCAAACGAGAAATAGCAATATTCTACTACCCGCATTTCCACTACGCATTGCTGCAAGTGGCAGTTACAAGTTTCGAAAATATTTCACCAGCAGTGCGTTACATTTCTGCCTCAACAAGCTAATCTCGATTTTTCACTGCCTTTCGACGCATTATTTATTTTCCAGTAAAAGTGCAGGCTACAGTCTGAGTCGTGTTTCGATTCTCGACAAGGAATATACTTTATATTTTCCAGAAAGTTTTTCACCCTTCTATCCAGCCGAGAATTATTTTCCAGAGGACAAAAACAAGAACAGTGTATAGCTGACACGTCATCAGATTAAATCCGTAAAGCTTTTGCTCCACATTCGCTGTACGTCGTTTGGGACCGGAGGGAGCAGACTAACCAGAATGTTTTTCATAAATTCTAATTATTCTTTATTGGGAGGTCTTCGTTCCGTACTTCAAAATATGATACTGACATGTCAGTTAAAACACAAAATAATTATTAAATAAAAATATACGTATAAAATGGGGATCTATTCAAACATTCAATTCATAGGTAATAAGCTGTTTGCCGTCATATCGTGAAACACACCTGACACTCGCGGGTCACCACGAATCCCAGGTTGACTCACATGTGGCAGTTCATGTGGGAACAATTTCTGAAGAATTCATATTCAGAAATTTTATGACATGCATTCCACATGTACAGAGCATGCCATCAGATAAAAATCCAAAACAATTTTTGTATTAACAGCCGTTAGGAAAGTCCAAGAGAAGATGGCTTAATGTTTGAGGACGGAATGGGCTAAAAAGCTGAACACTTGCAAATGACTGATGATGATGATTTCCTCAAGATATGATCATAATTGTCTAGAAAACGCTAATCACACACATGTGAAAGGAAAAAAGTTGCAAGGGCCTACAGACCTAACCGAACTCGCTCTGCAGATTACAGACACTTCAATAATGGCAGTAGATTTATATAATCAACTCCTTGGGTTCTTTCTTGAGACTCTAACAATGCTTCAGCTAGTCAAGTTCCACTCCACTTATGAAACTCGAAGGTTCATTATCGTGTTCACATGAGCACGCCACTGATCACTATCCCGGGTCAGATTAATCCAGTCCCCTTTGCTTTCTAAAAGGACCATTTTATAACAAATATTATGAACAATTCTTTCCGAAAGTATGTGTGGTAGGCAAGTAGGCTACTGGGTAAATTCTCACATACCTTTTATTCGGAAATTTCCACACTCCACCCTAACTGAATTCACACAGATAAACGCCGTGATAGTATCTTTAAGAGACATGTGAAAAAAAAACAGTTGTCGTTGGTTTGTACTTTGTACAATGTACTTTCCGGAGATAGCGAGGGAAATTCACGAATACGCACAGCCGTTACTGAAACTCAACTGGGACATGACCCAAGTATCTCCTAGACGCATCGCAAGCGCTCCGCTGCTTCTTTCATGCGTAAAACTTAATACGACGATGAAGCAGAACGGTTATGGCGTGGTTGCAGATTTCTTTTTGATTAAATTTACAGCTGAAATGTAACTTATTGCTAAATCCGCATGAAGGTGTTTATACCAATGCCGACAAACACCAATGAAAAGCAAAATATTTAAAACAATAAATCGACCGTAAATAAGCGGCTCCACAGAAGTTCTATATAAAATATAATTAGCTTAAAGTGGTACAGTGGACGAAGAATTAACGGGACGGATCTCACAGTGAAACTTGAAACACAATGGACATACATGATTCCTCCCCTTAAGACAATCTGAAAGTCACCTTCCAGAGAACAGCGTACGTTAATTGCGTACGTTATTTTGGCCATGACAGATTTACTTGCAAACAGAATATGGCCAACTTCTCCTTCGGTTATAGACTATATTTCAGGCTCTGCACATGTTATGTTGACTGCCGATGGCTACATGTTACATCCTGACACTTGCTTGGTCTCCTAACCTACATTCATTACGGACGCTGGTCTCCCTTCTGCTACGACTTCCGTTTGTTTGGCTTTTGTTTCGCATTGCACGTTATGTTTTCCTTGCTCTACTATCACACACTCTTGCGGTCCGGTCAGAAACATCACACGAATACGTCTCACCTTGACCTCCTTGCCTCCAGAATAATTTCAGTGTCAAAATAAACATTTTCGTACTGCCCGATGCACCAGAGTGTACATTAATTTGTATTCACGTCGTTAGAGGAATTTATGGTACTAATATAAGATTCGTTTATTTCATTCTTAGTACATTTGGCCACGTTGTTAGCAGTTGAAGCTATGTGGCGTCCAGTGGTATGGTGAAAAACAAAAACTGAACTGGAAAGGATTGGAAAAACAGTGGTCAAGGCCTAATTTGACGTACTATCCCAACATTTGTTTGGGGTGATTGAGGAAAGCTACGAAACGCTGCGGTCAGTTTGGTTTCCCAGCTTAGACTCTAACCCGGCGCCTATAGAATACGAGCCAGAAGGTTATGTAAATCACTGTTATTGATGGCTATTATACTTACATTGGAATCTGGATACAAAGTCAATATTCCTGAAATTTACAACACGTGGTTTCCACCCACACGCGTATCTCTTGCTAAATTCATAACTACTCTGATGAGGCAAGAACTTGTGTTTTAACATGATATGATCGTTGATTAGTTTAATATGGCTCAGAATGGCAACCAGCAGCGGGATCATATGCACAATTTTTTCCGTATAATTAGTTAATGGTTGGGGGCATACAAAAGAGGGCACAGCTGCTCAAGAAGGGGAAGGTTTTCAAATCATATTTCTGTTGTGCTTTAATTTTTATTTATAGACAGGTGGAGGAAACGGCCTCCACATAGGGGAGATGAGATAACGAACTGCCGACAAGGGGTTCTACTGCATCTCTAGGTTGAGTATAGCATCTACGAGCCCTTAAATATACTTTGTTAGGAAACTTTCCCATACGAAGACTGAATTAAGCGAATTGTTTGAAGAGGTTTAGGCAAAGTTGAAAGGACATGAGAATTTATATTTAAGGGCAATGAGGACGAGAGCCGGACGAGGGTGACACAGGAATCAGGACCGAAGAAGTGGGCTTTCGTATCAGCGGCTTTGAACCTTTTGAGTTCTATCATCATAGGACTTGCTGGCTGGTTGGTTCGTTGGATGGATGGAAAATTTGTGCCGACAGAATGTGCATGAAACGTCTGCTTGTCCCCGATTTCTTTCCAGTGCGCTGCAAATATTCAAACCGAAGTGTCATATGTAGTTGCTAATGCTAACAAAAGTACTTAAATTGAAATTTGATATCGCAAAAATCACAAGTAGAACTTACGCGCTCACGTTGCTTCATGTTGCAATGAATCAATGCAATGGTTAATTAAAAATCTGTATTATTATTATTTAACTGAAAATGGGTTTTCATCCGGTGGCAGTGGTACTACAATAAGACAACATACAAATAACACATACAATAGACAACACAGCACACAATTAGTAGTACGAAAAGCATGTGTTAGGGCATAAGAATTTCAGTCGCGTCCACAACGAAAAGTTGTAAAAATTATCGTACTATTAGCTTCATCATTTCGTCCTTCTCCTCAACCACCATTCGAGAATCGTTATCACGGATGTTCATGAAATCTGATAATGGGGAATTTTAGTAAAATTTAACGCTTTCTGAAGTTCGCTGTAAATCGTACAGCGTAACTGAGATTTTCATGGGAATCTCCACACATTCTGATGTTTCGTTAAAATCGAACAAAAGTAACGGAAAGTTATTTGAGGATCTACACATATTTCTGTGAGCAAAATTTATTGACATGTTCTAATGTTCGTTAAAACTCGGACAACAACGCCGAATCCTTGCATGAGGGTCCCTATACATTTCTGTATACCTCTCGGCGGTTATTAGCGCGTAACTTGCCAAATGTTTATTGGAGCGAGAACCGTTTCGATGTACAGA